ATCTTATTTAGACAGACCTGTGGAGATAATAACATGCACAAAAACAAGACAGAACAAAACCAAGCAACAATATACAACAAAACAACAACAACAACAACAAAGCAATGACAAAAACAAAACAAAACACAATAAGAAAGAAACGCTTGTAGTTAGTTCAAGGATTGTTTGTTGGCCTTTCGGAGTGTTTTACAGTTCAGTCTGTTGGGGCATCATGCCCTGGCCCCAAAGTCCACCTTCAGCATTCCCTGGGGACCTCGCAGCGCCATTCCCTTGCTGTTCTGTTGCACTCCCTTAGTGTTTTGCCTCGGTGTGCGGGATCAGATCTGGTGTAATTCCCACACCGTGTCACCGGTGTTGTCCCCTGTAGGGCTATGGGTCAGTGAGGGACATCATGTCTCAGGTGTGCATGTATTGTTATGAAACTTCCTCTGATAACTGACTTTGCTGTGTCCCATAAGTTTTGGTACGTTGTGTTCTCATTCTCATTGGTTTCTAGAAATTTCCTAATTTCATCTCTGATCTGTGCCAATATGCACTTCTTTTGCAGTAGAGAGTTATTCAGCCTCCAATTGTTTGCTCTTGTTTTCTTCATCTTCCTTTTGTTGATTTCCAGCCTTATGTCACAGTGGTCAGATAGAGAGGTCTGTATAATATCAATGTGCTTAAATTTATATAGATTCACCTTATGCCCCAGCATGTGGTCTATCTTCCAGTATGTGCCATGTGGGCTTGAGAAGAATGTGAATTTCCTTGTATTTGGGTGAAAATCTGTAAATATCTATCAGGTCAAATTGTCTAATTGTAGTGTTTAGATCTCTAGCCTCCTTGTTGAGTTTCTTTTCCTGTGATCTATCTTCCTCTGAGAGCGGTGTGTTGAAGTCACCCACTATAATTGTTGAGGCTGTGATTTCTTTTTTCATCTTTTGGAGTGTTTGGTTGATGTATTCAGCGAGTTTCTTGTTCGGGGAATATATGTTTACAATATTTAGTGGTTCTTTGTCTACCATTCCCTTGAGCATTATATAGTGTCCCTCCTTGTCCCTTTTTATGGTTTGCACTTTGAGGTCAATTTTATCTGAGATTAGGATTGCAACCCTTGCTTTTTTTGAATTGTTGTTTGCTTGGTATGCCTTTCTTCAGTGTTTCATTCTCAGTATGTTTTTGTCTGTAGCCTTGAGATGTGTCTCCTGTAGGCAGCAGATTGATGCGTTGTTTTCTAAGCCAGTCTGCTAGTCTCAGTCTTTTAATGCCTGAGTTCAAGCCATTGGTATTCAGGGTTATTATCTCCATCTGCG